ATGGGACGCCCCCTACAGCTGGATCTAAAAAAACTTGTGCCAAACTTTCGTTACCAAGTCGTCTCGTATTTTATTATCAATTCTCAACAAAGATCTAGATATAAAAACAAACTGGAATAGACACTCATACAGTGACATCGGTGAATACATTACCTCCTTGGTGGCGGTAGAAATCGTTGCTATTATCCAAATAATACACAAAACAATTAAAGCATAATCATGAATCAGTAAAGAATAAAACAACAATACAGGGCAGAATCGCATTCGCATGGCCAGACGCACTCTTAGTGAAAAAGTTTTCCTCCATTAGTGGAAAAGGAAGGGCGCCTTTTGCGTCTGGATATACTTAGCAACAGAAGGGCGCCCTGTACATTGGGCACGAAGTATAGGAAACTTGCATGGTTAAAAAGAAGGACGCCGCCTACGTTGGGCACGACTTCCGCCTCATTTTTTCAATGCGAGAACTCTATCTTGTATTTCTAGTATCTTTGATGAAGGTTAAATTTTTCAAAGAGATGCTCCATCTCAAGCAAAATTCATTTTTACTGAAGATAGTAGTCATAACGTATATTTACTCAATGTGTGGTTCATTTTACTTAAATGGATTATTTACCAATGAAAAAGACCATTTAAATACAGCAACCAAATTTTGGAATTCTCCACCTAAACATAATTAATAATAATAGTGTAGTTTTATATAGCATACATATCCATCTTAATGTATGATTCCTGATGATGACATAATTAATGTTGAAATATTGAATCCCAACACATGTATTTCAATACTTGGAGTATGTATTATACTTTCTTATCTGAGATTAATCAGTGGAACTTTCGGTTCAATGATTAAAGTTTAAATATATGTGCTTACATATGACCGGTGTAGAAGAAATTTTGAATTATTATTATTTGAAGTGAAATTTGTTAAAAGACAGGAATAGGAATTCTTTTGAATAGAAGATACTACAAACATGTCGGTATTAAAAGTAACATACAGTACTTTTGTATTTTGACTATACAGTAAGACACAATCTGATTCTGTATAGTAGTAGTACTGTAAGCTTACAAACTTTTCCAACTAGCAGGCCCTAGCATCAGTGGCATAGGTATTGAAATGGAAGGGAGCTGATAGAGGTGGGAAGGTGGGGGATCGGTGATTAGGTGAGGGGCTAACTCTATTAAGGTGATTTGAGGTGACTTTTAACTACAGTACTTGAGCACGATTAGTTGGCGGGGGAGCAACTAAGGGATGGGCGAGAATTTTTTCTCAGTGGGGAAGGGGGAGTGCGCGCCCCCTCGCAAATCCTAGATATGCCAATACCTAGCATACCCTGCAATTTACCCTACAGTATGCCACCGGTAGCTACTAAACATTCATCATCTATAGTAAAGTTGAAGATACTGTATACTGCCTGCCGAAAAAAATCGAAAAAACCTGAATAAATTGCAATTTTGAATAGCTCATGATTTAAAAGTATATGTATGAAATAAGTTATTAACTTCAATCAGAACAAATGTCTCACGCCTGCATATTCGTCTAACCCGAAATACATGTCCATAATATCCTAAAATAGATTTAAAATAATTACAGCATGCATTTGAAATTGAGTGTACGAGTCAAAATTTGAATTTTTGAATGCACAAATGTGCAAATAAATTTTTGACTACACTACTGCTCGAGAAGATATATAACCGAATCGTACTGCTGCTTGAGGCAAACAGTTGTTTTCCAAGCACAATTTACTTGGTTCAACTTACTGATTCCATGTGGCTTGAGTTATGTAGGTAATGGAAATATTACACAGAATTTTTTTATTTTTTTTTTGCCAAACTGAACAGGCGATTCCAACAGAGTGTCCACACCCACCTCAGATCTGTGGTTGAGAGCAACTTACAAGAATAATTTAGATGCCAAAAAAATGGTACTCACAGGCTGTAGAATTGCCAGACGAATTGATTGGCTTCTACCACTAGGGGTCCAGTACACTTTTTTTCTTATAAAAACCACTAAAATTTTGCCCAGGCTCAGTGTTAGGCTCAAAATGTTCTTAATTTGTTGTTATTTTTACATACTTTTCAAACATTGGAAATTATTATTTTACGTTCAGTATATCATTTTTACTGTATTATAGAGGGTATTACATAGTAACACCTACTACAAATAAGTAGATAGATTTGTTGGTTTTCTATTTTGAAAAAAATAAAAACCTCACTTGACATTTTACCTCAGCCTCAATATGTTCTTATTTTTGTTCTTAATTTTTAAGATTTCAGACTCGGTGGTCTTCTAAAATGTGTTCCTATAAATCAAAAAAGTGTATTACCCGGCTAAGGATTCAGTGCCACCTGGACCCTGCTAGTGCTGCCACTGCACATCATTAGACGATCCCAAGCATGAGGCCTAGCATGAGAAAATTGCAAGTAACATTCATTAGCTTGACTTTTGTTTGTATTTAAATAAGGGTTTTTAACAGCCAGGGATGCCCGAAGTTCTGCACCATTTTATCCGTCGACTTCTTTATTACCACTGGTCAGCCATCACTCATCTTGAAAAGCTTGGTGACACCATTGAAGATTTCCTGATAAGCTTGTTCCATTTTTCATGTATTAACTCCACCCGATATAAATATAATTTTGTCGTCAAAAGATTAAACAGTACAACTCACGTTAGCATGCTTCTACTGCTGTTGTCCGGAGATATCAATATGAACATCTTGAAGTAATAAATGTTGACCAAATAGTTGATGAGCTTAAACATTAATACGGAACACCATTGATAAATATATTCCATCTAAGATGACATCATCAAGGTGGACATTACCATGGATCAATCATTCAATCAAAAGGGATATCTGTAAAAAAAAACGCCTTTATAAAAAAGCTAGGAAACAATCAACAGCTTCATAATGGAAAACTTTCAAAAATCACTGTAGATCTACAGATAAGAAAATTAGGAAAGCCAAGAATGAATATATTCGCCATACTATTAGTGAAAGCCTGGTGAGCAACAATACCAAACCATTCTGGAATTTTATAAAATCAAAACGCCAGGAGGTATTTGGAATATCTACACTAACAACATCAAATGGAAATTTGGTTAGTTCTGCCGGAGACAAAGCCAATGTATTGAATGATTATCCTGCTCAGTTTTTACAAACGAGGATGTCAACCATTTCCCTACCTTACCCGAATCATCAGTCCCAGATATGCCAAATATAACAACTGAAAGGTCCACTGATTAATCTCAGATAAGAAAGTATAATACATACTCCAAGTATTGAAATACACGCCATCGTGTTGGGATTTAATATTTCGACATTAATTATGTCATCATCAGGTCCTGATGATGACAAAATTAATGTCGAAATATTGAATCCCAACACGATGGCGTGTATTTCAATACTTGGAGTATGTATTATACTTCCAAATATAACAATTGATACAAACGGAGTTGAGAAACTATTAAATGACATCAATCCTTGTAAAGCTCCAGGACCAGATGCAGTACCATCTACAATCCTGAAGGAGTGTTCATCTTCACTAGCTCCGATTTTCACAAAAATTTTTCAGAAGTCGCTTGACTTTGGATCCCTGCCAAAAGCATGGTTAGAAGACGATATAACGCCTCTGTACAAAAAAGGGGAAAGAATGGACCCTTTTAACTATAGACCGATCTCTCTCACTACAATTCCTTGTAAGATCTTGGAATACATTCTGCATCTCCATTTGATGGCTCATTTTGAACAATTTAATATTTTAACCAATGTGCAACCTGGATTTCACAAAGGTCGCTCTTGTGATACCGAGCTATCTGCTTTGGTGAATGACCTCGCTATGGCACTTGACAGCAGAGGCCAGGTGGGTCTAATTATAATGGACTTTAGTAAAGCATTTGGCTACGGTCACACAGCGTCTCAAGCCTGGCTTGACTCACCGCGGGTGAGATTTCGAGCCAGGCTCGAAATTCTGGGTTGGTCACACTAGCTGGATTGACCTCCAAATTATGAAAGTCGAAACAGCAGAGCCGTAGAGAGAGAGTTTGGCCAACTCTGTTTCACGGGATTTGATATACGCATGTGTGATTGGGTGGATCGCAATCAAAGATTTTACACCAGACGTGCCCGAACTACTCTTCTTCAACTGATCTTTTAACAGCTTGTATTGAGCTCACAATGCCTTCACTTTTGTTTTAATTTGGGCCGTCGTTCTCTTCTCATGTCCGAGACTGGCTAATCTGTTTTTTTTATTTTCTATCCGGTCTCTCAGCTCGGGTTGGCCCCACATATCTACCAGGTCAGCAGTTTCCAAATTAAAATTTAAATTAACTTTTATGAAAAGTAATGATTGCGTCTTGATTGAACACACATGAAGAACTCGCGGGTTTTT